AGCCTCAGCCAACCCACCATACCTAAACTCAAGAACACCTTGCAAGACAGAAGATTTCACATTCAAAAATTTCCAAGGCCATTTCATTAATAGAGCCTTGTTAAACTTTACTAGATCCAGAATTTTTGGCTTACAAACCTCTTTCCAACTCACCCAAGTAATGCTTCTCTTTTCAGTAGAACCACCCCAAAGAAAGTCACGTTGAAGCGTGCATAACGACTTAGCAACTTTAGATGGAAGTTTGAAAAAGATAAGTAGTGAATAGGCAGGTTTGATATGACTAATTTAATAAGGGTAAGTCTTCCCCCAAACGACAACAGTCTACCATGCCACTTTGACAACTTAGCTTTAAAAAAACTTTAAAACTGGCTTCCAAAAATTCAATCTCTTATGATTACCGCCCACTTAAATACCTAAGAATTTGAATGGCGGCACTCCAAACTTGCAGGAAAGAAAATGAGCGGTTGCAGACATGTAAGAGGTATCCAAACCAACACCATATAGACAACTTTCCCATAAATTAATTTTCAAGCCATATAATATTTCAAAGCCTCTCAATACAGCTTTGATGCTCAAGAGATTAGACCACTTACCTCTACGAGAAGAGTATCATCAACATATTGCACTATAGAAGCGGTATCCCCTCACCTATTGAAAAACCTTTCAAGATTCCCACTTGATTTTTATTTCTCACCAACAAGGAAAGACATTCTGCCACCAAAGCAAACAAGAAAGGTGGCAAGGGGTCGCCTTGCCTCAATCCCCTTGTTGCCTGAAAATCACTAGTCGTGCTTTCGTTCACCAATGTCGAAAGGTAACATTTCAAGACACCACACCTGATCTATTTGATCCATTTTAAACAAAAACTCATTCCAACCAAGACCTCTTCTGAGAATATCCAGTCAACACTGTCATAGGCTTGCGCAAAATCCACTTTGAAGACCAAACAAGTCTTCCTATTCCTCTTAGCCATATCCAGAATCTCATTAGTAAGTAACACCCCATCAGATAATTGCCTGCCAGGAATTAATGTAGTTCTGTACAGGATACCAATTTCCCAATGACCTTTCTCAATCTTGAAGCCATTATTTTAGATATCAGTTTGTATATACTCCCGACTAGGCTAATAGGTCTAAATTCAGTTAGATCCTAAGGATTAGCAAATTTGGTATCATGGCTATGAAGGATGACACCAACGCCTTAGGAAATGACACATATTGAAGAAAGTGACAGATTACACTTTTCACCTCTACCCCAACAATATCCCAACAGCGTTTCAAAATGTCCAAGTTAAAACCGTCCGGACCTAAACTCTTATTCCCTGAACAAGTCGAAAGAGACTCCCAAATTTCAGCATCTGAGAAAGGTTCAATTAACATATCGTTGTCAGTCTGTGTCGGTTTTGGTAGACTATCCATATTCAAGTGTAAACTAATTCCTTTGACTTTCTTGAACTTTGCCTCAAAGAATTCCTTAATCGAGTCCTTGACCAACCTAACATCCTCTACCAAAATGTTTCCAGGCCTTATGCAGAGTATGTTGTTTCTTCTCAATTTAGTTTTAAGAACGGAATGGAAATACCTAGTATTTAGATCTCCCTCTTTGGACCATTTCACTCGCCCTTTTGTTTTATCATGCTCTCTTTTAGAATCAGCCTTTTCCAAATTTCCTTTTATGCATAGTCTCTTTCTCTGGGAGCCTCCTCTAAAGTACCTTCCACACCCATATCCATGTCACCCTCAACTTCATTAAGAGAATTAACCCCTTTCTTAATACTCAAATCCGGCTATCCGTATACATTCTTATTCCACCACATGAGTTTTTCTCTTAACACTTAGAATTTAGTCACCAGAATGCGGGAGGGACTACCTTTGACTTGAATAGAGTTCTAAGATTCTCTAACAAAATCCAGGAAGTTAAGATGTTCGTACCAACTATTGAACACCTTAAAAGGTTTTGGACCCCAGTTTGCCATATTTAATTTCAACCAGATTGGCCTATGGTCAGAGATATCTTTGTCCCGCATTTGTTGTGCCAAGACCCTCCACTTGGAGATTAATTCATCAGACAGTAAAGTTCTATCTAACCTGCTCTTGAAACATCCATTCACCTTAAACCATGTGTATTTATTTCCAACCACTGGAACACCGATGAGCTCCTTAGCTTCAATAAAGCTTTAGAAGTCCTCAATTTCAGCGAGATTGTATCTTCCTGCACATTTTCTTTCTTCTTTGGATTTGATGGTATTGAAGTCTCCAGCATCCAACCACTCACCTTGTGGAAATTTTCCTTTAAGCTCTAACAACTCCTTCCAAAGCTTTCTCTTTTCAGCTAAAGCACACGAAGAATACACAATAATAAAATAGCAGTTTATCCCCTTCCAACAACCAAAAACCCCTAAATAACCATATCCTTTAAAACTAAATTAGGATTTGATAGAGACTTTCCTCCATACTGAAAGAACACCTCCAGATTGACATATGACACCTAACGCTGACCATTCCATTTCCCCAGACCCCCATAAACTCTGTACCACCTCAGTTGTCATTGAATGGAACTTCATTTCCTAAACAAAGCATGGCTCCACATTTCCCTCAGATAAGATTTGACGCAATCTTCTTCTTTTGATCGAGGAACCGCACCCGCGCACGTTGTATGAGACACAGTTCATGGCACCCTGATTTCAATCCCCACCTTGTCATCAAAATTTCTTCTGTCCCTATCTTTTAAACTCTTGATGATACTTTCAAAAGCTTCATCGTCGTCATCCCCCTCAACTCCCAATGCCTTGATATATTGCCAAATCTTACTTGGAATATTTTAAATCGATTTCCTGGTTCTTGAATTTCCTTGGTTAAGGTCATTACCACTAAGCGGATCGCAACATAGAATGGAGCCTCTAGAATAACACGAAGAAGAATCTCTAACTAGTGAAACATTAATGTTGATCCTAGAACCAAGAGCATTAACTCCCTCCTTATGCTCGGTAGAGAGAGAATAATTTAATAATGCAACAAAGTAAGATGGGGCAAATGGAATTTTGATGCTATCATAGATCTCTCTAAATAATTTAGTTTTCTTTGGAAAAGGCTTAAGGGAAATTTTACCCAATATTCCTGCATTTATACCCATACCCCTACATTTTTAAAAAATACCCATTTTATCCTTATATATTTTAATATTTTATTATTTTTTTCACTTTTTATATTTTTCAGTCTTCCGAGAAATTCATCCCACGATCTACCGGAACACTTTGAAAATGACTTCTGGTAGGCATTTTTTTCAAACCGGAAGACTTGGACAAAGAGTTCTGGTTCACAAAAATACTGTACCGGAAGACTTCCGGTTTGGTAATTTTTGTGAATGTTCACCGAAAGACTTGTAAAAAGTCTTCCGATTTGTTTTTTAGCTACCGAAACACTTGTAGCAAGTGTTCCGGTTTGAGATTTTTTTTTTAAAATTTTTTTTAAATTTTTTTTATGTAATTATTTCAGAAATTCCTTTACAAATATGCGATAAAGATCAAATATCCGTAGATACGTCTAATGTTTTTTCAACAACTCAGAGATTTGGTACACGAGAAGAGGTTTCAGACATTCCTTTACAAATATGCGATAAAGATCAGATATGCGTAGATACGTCTGATGTTTTTTCAACAACTCAAAGATTTGGTACACGAGAAGAGGTAATAAGATGGATTAAAGAGATCGGAATCCGAAATAAAGTTACGGTTATCATCACTCGTTCAGATATTAAAACAGGCAAGAGAGGAAGAAGTAACAAATTAACATTTGGATGTGATAAAGGAGAAAAACACAGAGATATTGATAGTGGAACCCAGAGTGCGACAAAAAAATGTGGATGTCCATTTAGAATCAGATCAATTCCAGCGGCTGATGGATCTGGATGGAAGATTGATGTAAAATGTGGAGTTCATAACCATGGTTTACCTGATAGATTAGAAGGTCACGCATTTGTCGGTAGGTTGACAGCTGATCAGAAGCAACATGTTGTTGATTTGACAAAGAGAAAGGTCCCACCTAGACATATATTGCTTTCATTGCAAGAGCAAGATCCAGATAATGTCACTCGGATCACGCAAATATACAAACAGAAGAGTATGATAAAAAAAATATAAGAGGTCCTAGAAGTGAGATACAACATTCGTTTAAGCTTATTGAGGAAGCAGGTTATGTTTATTGGAGTAGAAAAAGAGATGACTCTGAAGTAATTAGAGATATCTTTTGGGCTCATCCAGATTCAGTTAAGTTGTTGAATATTTTTCCTATTGTGCTAGTTATGGACAACACTTACAAGACAAACAAATATAGGCAACCTCTGTTTGAAATAGTTGGCATGACATCAACCGAGTTGACTTTTGCTGTCGCATTTGCCTATATTGAGTCTGAGCAAACTGAGACTTTTTGTTGGGTGCTAGATAAGCTTAAACAATTGTTTGTGAAGAAAGAGTTGTGTCCACAAGTGATTTTGACAGATAGAGATCTTGCTTTGATGAAAGCCATTGAAATTGTGTTTCCAAGGTCGATCAATATGCTATGTCGATTTCATATTAACAAGAATGTTGGTGCAAAACAGAAACAATATGTGGCTAGTGACATGCAAAAGAAAATTGACGAGTTATGGACGGATGTTGTATGGGCTAGTGATGAGGTTGAGTATGATCAAAGGTTGAGCCAACTTGAGCAGGCGTGTGCTGATTGTAATGAATTTATTGATTATGTGAAGGATACATGGTTGACACCACATAGACAAAGATTTGTTGGAGCATGGATTAATCGAGTGCTACATTTGGGTAACACTACGACTAATCGGTATGTATTTATTTTTAGTATTTATAAATTGTATTTTTTTTGAATTTTTTAGTATTGGGAGGCTATGAATGACAACTTAAAGTTACTAATCGGCTATGAATTTTTTTTAGTATTTATAAATATGTGGCTAGTGCCTATATTGAGTCTGCTTATTGGAAGTTAAAGCAAATGTTGGGGAACAGTATTGGTGACATGGTCAAATGTTGGGAGGCTATGAATGACAACTTAAAGTTACAATTGAGTAATATTAGAGCTTCTTTTCAAAAGAGTTTTTATGAAGTTGAGCACGCCCACGTAAGTCCATTTTACAATAATTTATGTGGTTCAGTGTCTCGAGAAGCATTGAGACGCATTGCTCAAGAGTTAAAACGAGTTGATTATGTTGGAACTAACAAGGAAAGATGTCGTTGTACTCTTAGAACAACCTACGGATTACCTTGTGCTTGTGAGTTGACAGGATATAGAATTGATGGTTTACCGATACCAATAGATGTTGTACATGTTCATTGGAGAAAACTAAGTATGGAAGTTAAGTTGGACGAAGATGTAGATGATAGATCAGAGGTGGATATGAATAGTGCAATAAATGAGTTATGGAAAAGGTTTAAGTCACTGGATGTTGTTGGGAAAAGGGCATTAAAAAGTAGGGTTTTTGAACTTGCCTTCCCTACAATGACTTCTATGTGTCCACCACCTGAGAAAATAAAAACTAAAGGGGGAGTCAAGAAGAAAGACAAAAAACCAGTAGGATATGATGTTTATAGAGACCCTTCGTCGAGACTTGGGGTTGGAAATAATACATAATGAAAGATCAAGTTTGTATGTCAACTTATTTACTGATCAGTTAGCAGTAGTGAGAGAATCTTTGATGATAGAGGAAGTTGGTCCTCAGCCACCACATAAATGGTTAACTCTACCAGATATGGGTTACGTGATAGCGAATCGTTATAATGTTGTACTTGTCTGTTTAGGAATTGAATGCTGGACTTTCTTCCCTATGACATCTTCATTTTCACCGAATGTAACAATTTACTGCATTGGTTTTGTAAACAGAAATCATTGGGTTCAGGTACTTAGTTATTTTTAGATAATGCGATTAAACCTAATTCTTTTTCGTTATTTTTACTTAATATTGCGAGTTATTTTTTTATTTAGGTAAACATGAAAGAAGGGTTTCCATTGCCACCAGTGACAGTAGATTGGAAGAAGTTTCGTTCTCCAGCAGCAACATCTTGGATGATAGGATTTGCAGGACGTCTACAACATTGGCAACAACTTACGCCTATATTACCAACACATTTTGAATTATAAATTATGTTACTCATTTTTAATTACAAAACATGAATCGTGAATTATGTTACTCGTTTTTAATTGCAAAATATGAATCGTGAATTATGTTACTCGTTTTTAATTGCAAAACATGAATCGTGAATTATATTAACATGTAAACATAAACTAAATAGGTCAAATTAGTCTAAAAGTTAACACATGAACATAAACCATTTAGGTCAAATCTGTCTAAAGGTTAACATATAATCATAAATATAAATAAAAGTCACTGTGATAGACCAAGATGTAAAGCTTCGAACAAATCAGCAAACTGTGGGTCATCCTCTTTAGCACCAGTCTGCTGAAGATAACGATGTATCAATGAAGACATACGAGCCACTATAGGATCAGATGGTCCTGCTTCATATACAATAACTGGCATCTCTGTTGTCGCATCAATACTGAGCGGTACCAGACGAGGATGCGAAACACGATAATACCACTCAAGATACCCATTATCTGTCTCATATGGGGTGGTGGCCGACACTGTCAGACGAATCACATTCTGAACGCTCTGATGGTAACTAATCCAGTCAACATCAATATCACCCGCCGTTCGAGAATCAAGAGGTGGATGTGGAACATACTACCTGTATCCAAACTGACGCAAACATCTGTCAGACATGTATGGAACAATAGTGTCACCCCATCTCAGACACCCCCTATAGAGGCATAACTCATCAAACTGACGCCATACTCTATGATTCTCGAATGGGCGCCATATGACATCAGCAGGTGTCAGCTCGTCCAGAATAGGCCGCAAGTCATCCACCTTCAAGGTACCTTGTCTATAGGACCATCTCATCGCTCGTGGGAGACCCACATTATTAGCTAGTATCCAGTTCTCTCCTCTTTTTCCAAGTGTGGGAAAATACTCATGAATCCAGCACTGTTACAAAATGTAAAATAATTAATTATAACATAATAAACTAGATAAATAAAATTAATATACTAGATAAAATTAATTAAAAAAATATACTAAATTAAAATAAATACCTGTAGGAGAATCAGATAACCACCAAGCTGCTTACAGCTGAACATGGAAGCATCTCCGAGATATCGGTAAAGAGTAACCAACGCAGCTGCTGCCCAACTATATCCTGATAAGCCATCCAAGTCTATAAACAGTGAGAGGTATCGTGCCTCGACAAGCGTAAACGTCTTGTTCGCAAAAATAGTGGAACCCACTAACATCAGCAAATAAGTTCTAGTGGCATAATCCCATCGAGATGCAGCTCTGTGCTCTACGAACCGATCATATAACCACTCCAGCTTATAGTAGGAACCCCTGCACTCACGGACTTGTTGCTGTGCTATTCTATGTGACACTCCCAAATAATCAACAGCCCACTCAACAGCAAGCGCTTCACTGATATCTGGAGGGTTCCAGAAAACTCCCCTGATGGGCAAGTCAAGCAGGCAAGATACGTCATCTAGAGTAATCGTCATCTCACCAAATGACATGTGAAATGAAGATGTCTCTAGATGCCACCTCTCTGCAAAAGCGGAAACTAGGTTTGTGTCTATCTTTGTTAAACTGGTTCTCTGAAGTGAAGCTAGACCAGACCTAGATATCCAGCTCTCCATTTCTCTGGGTAACTGTAGTGGAACCCTCTGAGTCAACTTTATCCCATGTCCCGCCACCTTTAACTCTTTCTTCGACCCTCTCTCCTGAAAAAAATTAAAAGTAAAAATATTATAAAATTCAATATTAAAAATTCGAATTCTATTCAATATTAAATAATTTTCGTTTACTTACCTCACCAAACCATATACGGTATGCAACATGCTGTTCGTATTTAACTAACAGAGACGTATCATACGGTCCTCCGGGATATCCAACCGGCTCGGATGTTGATGTTGATGCATCAAAATGCTCTTCTTCAGCCATCCTCGATGACTCGCCCCGTCCTAGTCCACGAGGGATCCTACCATCTCTGCCTCTTGTGCGCACCACTAGAAAAAAATCAATATAATTAAAAATTAAAAAAATAAATAAATAAATAAATATAATTAGAAAACAAAAATAACAAAAATTAAAAAATAAAAAAGAAATGAACCGGAAGTCTTTCTTTGAAGACTTCCGGAGTTGAAACGCAGCATTAAGTGTACGGGATGTCTTTAGGAAAGACTTCCGGTGTGTAAACTAGAATCTTTTCTGAACCGGAAGTCTTCAAAAAAGAGTTCCGGTGAGCAACCTCAAAATTTTGTGTACCGGAAGTCTTAATGAAAGAGTTCCGGTGAAGAAGCAAAAACAAAATACAAACCGGAAGACTTACTCTTAGTGTTCCTGTATGTATTTCAACTGAAATGTGTTCCGGAAGTGTTTGCGTAAGAGTTCCGGTATGTAGCAAAATTTGGAGAGTTCCGGAAGTCTCAAAATGGAAAGTGAGAAATGGAAGTGAAAAATGAAAAATGTAAGATTATAGATTTACTAAGGGTATTTTGGTCCAATTTTTTTGAGTGTAGGGGTGTGGGTATAAGGGTAGGGGTATAAGGTAAAACTTCCAGGCTTAAGCGATGAACCAAGATGGCTAGGCCTAGAAAGGGAAATTGGATCAGATAGATCTTTATTAAGGCCCAATAAATTATGTGAGCCATTGGGCATCCCAAATGATACTTTTGCACAGTCAACGACCCCTACTAACCCCTCATTTCTCTTAAAAAACAACATTTTGTCTGTTTTCTCGCTAGTTCTAGTTACTCCTTCCACGCTATCAAAATATTTTCCTTTTTCAATACCAACCATCTGTGCCTCTTCAATATCCATGTCCCCTCCTACATGACTCCTAACCTGATCCCATCCTACCTCGCCACCCTTTTTAGACAAGACCTTTTGAGGCGCCGCATCTGTCTTCTCCAAATTTTCTGAAAATACATCTTCATCATTACTATCTACCTCTGGTAATCCCCCCTCAGACTCCTCCTCATATGAACTCTCCTAACCTCCATCTTTATCATTAGAATCTGACATCTCCAATTTCTCAACCCATCCCTTTTATTTCTAACCATAATCCTTTTTGGCCCATGGAAATCTTCTACAAATTTTAAACGATATATACTTCAATTTACCTTGATGTTAAACACTTCATTCGAATTGATTGAAAATTTGGTCTTGATCAGGAAACGCACAACATCAAAATTTGTTTGTCTTTCCATCTAGTCATCGCAGTAAATGAATTCCCCTACACAACTTGAAACAAACTTAAAAAACCTATCACTTCATGCATGACAAGGAAACCCAAAGAACTTAATCCATGTTAACCTTTCTCCATCTATGTCCATATCCCACCACGGGTGAATGTCGTTAAACCACTCCTATACCCAACTTTCATTATCCTCTATCATTCCTTTTCCCATGTTCCTTTTCTTCCAACACACAGGTTCGCCCCCAATGGGGATGCTTTGATACTAAAATATTCTTCCCTGTTTAGAGCCTCCTAGATAGCATATGTTGAACCCGATTTGTTGACCACTCCAACAAAGGATTTTTCAAATCTTTCCATTTCAGAAGCCAGTACATTGAACTGCAGGTGTACAAAACTCGGTTTTTCTTCCAACTTTCACCTCCACTCTTTTCCTAGGTTCTTTTTCCTAGACTCAACCTCTTGTACACCTAGAACCTGCGCATAGGATCGTTCTAGATTCCTTGTACTCCCATATCTTTTCGAAGGATTTCCATTATTTCCCTGTGCATTCTCCGCCATTGTTTTCCTTACTTGATGATCACTAACATATTCTTTCCCACGTTGGAACCTAGGAATGTTAGCGAAAAGCTTTTTTCCTTGGTTTGAATAATGTCTAACTTTACCTCCAACAATTTATCCTTTGCCACCTTTATAAACCTCACAAATCCATATTTCCTTCTTCTTTTATCTCTCTTTGCTAGTATGAATACCTCATTCACCAGGCCATGTTTCTTAAATACTTCTGCTATATCTTTTGCTGTAAATGTTTTTGGAAATCCTGTGAAGAAAAATGATGACACACGCTCCTCCTACTGAATACATTTATTCCAACTTGAGAACCACATTGAAGCTCTATTACTATTAGAGTATTTCCTCCTATTCCTTACCTCTACCTAGTTACTTTCCTTCATTTTGAAGCTCTCATGCATGAATTCGCTCAGAGACAAAATGTTCCAACACCTGCTGCCAAGGTCCCTATACCTAAGTATAGGAATTTGAACCGAAGACAACAAATGTTCTACATTAGAATCTGAAACGGATTACCTATATTATTATTATTGTCGATCTTGCCTTGAAATTGTTGTTGATGAAGTTACATAAGCATTTATAAAATTCAAAATTTAGTTTTTTCATAGAAGTTTATTTTCTAAGATCTTAAAAGCCACGCCATGTAGGATTGGGTACATGGATATAAATGGATTGATCTAATTGTTATAACGGAAGAATTTCCAACTGCATCATTAAAAATGATTTGGTTACGCGTCCAAAAAATAACCCAAAATATTG